TTATCTGATTTATTAATTTGCTTCCTCTACAGATGTTCACATGTGCCTACGGTTATCCTCTTCCTTGAGATATCTCTCATATTTGGGTGCACGGATTACGCAGTTGTGGCTCGAGTTATATTGATGCGGCGTATCTGTGGGATAGTTATGTTTAATAATATATGGTCATTGGACCTAGAATAGGTACTAACAGACTTGATTATGATATATTCGGGAGGATAATATTGAAAGTCCGATTAGGAGAGGATTATGGTTCTGGTTGGGGCAAGATAGCTCCATGGCTAGTTGATATGATGAGTGGTTAAGAGTTTTTGATTGTTCTTTCATCATTGGCAGTATACAGAGGTTTTTGGGCTAAGGTTAAATTAATGATCTTCAATTGTGTTATGTTGTCAGATCTATGGAATACGGTGGTGTGGGATCTCCCCCGGGTATGGCATGGGAAGGCGGAATAGAGATTTGAAGGTTAGAAACAACTCTTGACACGTTCGAGGAAGAACGTATATTTAAGTGGGGGAGAATGTAACGACCCGAACGGTCGTTTTGAGTATTACATCTCCGTTTCCCTATTTATTGCTCAATTTATGCCTTACATTACCGGGTTAGTTGGTTCGGGTCCGGATGGAATTCGGAGTAAAATGAGACACTTAGTCTCGTAATTGAAAATTTTAGGTTAGAAAAGTGACCGGATGTGGACTTATGTGTAAACAACCTCGGATTTGAATTTTGATGATTCCAATATCTCCTTATGGTTATTTTTTACTTAGGAGCATTCCCGAAAAATTATTTGGAGGTCCGTAGTGGATTTAGGCTTGAAATGCCGAAAGTTGAATTTTTGGGAAGTTTGACCGGGGGATTGACTTTTTGATATCGGGGTCGAAATCCAATTCTGAAAATTTGAATACCTCTGTTATGTCATTTATGACTTGTGTGCAAAATTTGAGGTCAATCGGATGTGATTTGATAGGTTCCGGAGTCGTTTGTAGAAATTAAAAATTTTAACATTCATTAGGCTTGAATTGGGGTGTAATTTATGGTTTTAGCGTTGTTTAAGGTGATTTGAGGGTTCGACTAAGTTCGTATGATATTTTAGGACTTGTTGGTATATTTGGTTGAGGTTCCGGAAGGCTCTGGTGAGTTCCGGGATGGTTTCGGATCATTTTTCCTTGTTTTGCCATTGCTGGAACTGGTATCTGGTATTGTTCTTCGCGAACGCGAAGGGTCTCAAGTGTTCACGAAGAAGGATTTTGTACGGGTAGGATTTTTCCCATCGCGAACGTGATGTAGAAGACATGAACGCGAAGAAGGGAACTAGGGAAAACGTACGCGAACGCGAGTGGGCAGACGCGAACGCGAAGAGGAAAGGGAGTTGGGGGCCTGCCTGGCGTTAAGCCTTCGCGAACGCATCTTGTTTCTCGCGAACGTGAAGGGCAGAGGTCATAAGGCATCGCGAACGTGATGAGGATATCGCGAACGCGAAGAAGGAATCTTGGCAGCATAGTTTAGTACTTCGCGAATGCGAAGCTTTGGTCACGAACGCGATGAAGGAATTTCTGGGCAGAATTAAAAGTTCCAAAATGGGGGTTTTGAGTTCATAACACAAAATTAAATTGGGAGCTCGGTAGAAGGTGATTTGTGGAGAGATTCTTGCGTGGGTGTTTGGGGTAAGTGATTCTTATCCATTTTTGATTAATTTCCATGATTATGTCTTTGAATCCATCATTTAATGGATAAATTAAGATGAAAAATTTAGAAAACCCTCTTATTTTAAATTGAAGATTTGAGGGTCGAGTTGAGGTCGAATTTAGGTAAAATTAGTATGGTTACACTCGTGGTTGAATGGGCTTTCGGATTTTGTAATTTTTGTCGAGTTTCGAGACGTGGGCCCCACGGGCAATTTTTGAGCTAAATTTCGAATTTTGATGGAAAATTAATATTTCTTATGGAATTAATTCCAATAAATTTTATTGACTAAATCGAATTATTTGTGGCTAGATTCGAGGTATTTGGAGGCCAATTCACGAGGCAAAGGCTTAGCGGAATAAGAATTTCATGGTTTGAGGTAAGTAACAGTTTTAAATTTGGTCCTGAGGGAGCCCGAGAGACTGGAGAGATTTATGACTGAGCAAGGTCGAGGGCCTGATTGTGAGATATTTATATTATACTATAACACATGAGTTGGATGTGCAGCACGTGAGTTGGCCGTGCGAATCCTTATATTATACTATAGCACGTGAGTTGGTCGTGTAGTACGTGAGTTGTCCGTGCGAATCCTTATATTATACTATAGCACGCGAGTTGGCCATGTAGTACGTGAGTTGTCCGTGCGGATCTTTATATTATACTATAGCACATGAGTTGGCAGTGCAGCACGTGAGTTGTCCGTGCAGATCCGTATATTATACTATTGCATGTGAGTTGGCCGTGCAGATCTAGATATTTATATTATGGCATGTGAGTATAGCGCTTTGGCTGTAGGAGCCCCTCCGGAATTTGTACACCCCCAGTGAGCGCGGGTACCCATTGAGTGCCAGTGCTGAGGGCTAAAAGCTGAGTGGTTGAGTTGTTGTGATGAGTTGAGTGACTGTTGCGTGGGAGGCTGTACTTGCTTTGCATTTGTTATTGCACTTGGTTGCTATCTGTCATTATTGTGAAATCTCTGAAAGATTTTGTATCCGGATTACATGAACTTGAACTGTATAAAATTGATTTGTCTTAAACTGTCTGATTTGAAAGCATGTTTATTCTCTGCTGGAATTACTGAAAGTAAACTATAACTGTGTATCTCGTCATCATCTTCAGTTCCTTAGTTATTATTGTTACTTGCTAAGTTGGTTGTACTCATACTACACCTTGCACTTCGTGTATAGATCCAGGTATTTTCGTACATAGAGGGTATTGATCCTTTCGCACANTATGTATATATATATATATGTGTGTGTGTGTGTGTGTGTGAGTTTTTCTTCCGCTAATTCTATATATTATGTTTTCAAACATAAATGATATGGGGGTTTATTGAGATAGTCGGCGCCTAGTATTGAGATAGGCGCCATCACGACGGGTGAGATTTTGGTTCGTGACATTACTGTCATTTCCCTATTATATCTGCACTGTTATTATCTGGATTTGGACTGTACCTTTCTGAGCTCGTCACTACTTTCAGCCCAAGGTTAGTCTTGTTAATTATTGAATATATTGGGTCGGTTGTACTCACACTATACTCTGCTCTTCGTGTGTAGATCTAGGTACATATGGACTCGGCGGTTGCTAGTTTCGGTGCAGTGTCTGCTTGGAGACTATTGAGGCAGCTGCTATAACGCCCGCAGATCTCGACTCTCCTTCTTTTTAGTTTTATTCAATATTGTTCTATTTTTCAGACGGTTATATTAGAAATTTAGACTGTGTTGACACTTTATAGCTCATTAACCGTTGACACCCGAATTTTTGGGGATCTTGTAGTTGTTCTTATCGGTTATTTATGAGATTTTTCACTATTAAGCTTATTACATCATGCTTTTAATTTAAAATGTGTAGTTATTTTGTGATTGTCGGCTTGCCTAGTAATGTGATAGGTACTATCACGACATGTTGAGATTTGGGTCTTGACACAATACAACTCTTCCTTAGCAAACTATGTATTCAACTTACAAAGAAATTACATTTGTCTTACCTTCTTCTAATACTAGGAAGTTGCCACTTATCTAGTGTAAAGTGTCCCTTCGCCTCTTTTGGAGGATGTTCGAAAGAGTAGTAGAAGGTATCATTTCCACTAGATGAGGCAAGCTTAGCTAAGAAATCCGTCATCTGATTGGCTTCTCCAAAGATTTCAAGATATGCATGCATTACGCATTTATTGTAATCTGATAATCATAAAATATATATTGTTCATTAAATTTACAATGTTGCAATTGATGTAAAATTATGTTAGATAATACATTTGAGGGAAATAAACCTTACTGTATGTACTTTTATTACTCTTCTCAAATATGAGGACATAGGGAGAAACAAAGAGTCACATGCATGGTCATAAATTTCTTTGTCGTGCGCAACTTAAATTTGCTTCAAAATTAGAAAGAGAGAGTCACATAGGTCAGAGTATTTTTAGTAACCGAGTTATGGACGATTTGTCCAACAATAAATCATATCTGTATTAATTTGCAAGCTTTACGTTCTATTATGGGTAAAAAAGAGATCTCCTAGAAGTTTTATATTAATGTATGAATAGAATAAATTAGATTATACATTCATCTTCAAGAGAATGTTGAAATAAATTACAAAGGTTGCTCCCAGCAGAATTTGGAGATAAATTCATAGTGCGCAACTAGCAGTTTTCTACTATTTAGTGTATTTAGGTGATGGCTGTAGTTTCACAGTATTGGAACTTTTAGGGAATTAACGCACAACCTTAAAGAAGTTCATTATTCTTTTCTACTCTAATGGTCAGAGGTGGAACTAGAATTTCAATCTTATAAGTTCTGCATTTTAAAACGACGATTTCAAGTGTTAATAAGTGGATTTTACTTTTTATATTGGTACATATTTAATGAATTTCTTAACACAAAATACACTGTTTGAGCAAAAACAGCTGGATTTGCGGAACCTATAGCTCAGCTTCTCCTCCGCCTTCCAATGGTAGTGAGACGAAGAGTCACATGCAAAACATAAATCTGCTCCAAAATTAGAAAGCAAGAATCACATAGTCAAAGTCACTTTTAGTAACCAAGTTAAAGAAGATTTGCCCTATATTTCGTTTATAAGCAGTTCAAATATTAAGAATGTGGGGACCAATTTAATTAATTGGCTGTGAATTTATAATTGTACTCACATGCAGCGACTAACCTAATATGGGATACCATTTAATAAAAGCTGGCTGCTAAATTTAGTTCTATTACAAAGACTACTGGTTGATGTTATGATCACAGTGCTTTATAAAAAGGCTCTCTATATATATCTTACGCTTCGAAAACATCTTCAGCTCAGTACTCTTTTCTTCTTCACAGCATTTCAAGCTCCTTTCTTCTTCTGCTATTGAGATGATATATGCTGAAAATGTACGTCCCATTTCCCCCTCATATATAGTCCTCTTATTTCTCTCTAATTATATGGCTAAAAATATAAGAAATTTTTAAACTTTGATGATGGGCCATCCTTAGTGGAACTTCAGCAGGAGGGTTGGGTGCAATCCTACATTGTGACAAATTCAGACTTTTTTTCTCCTTGACTGCTAGAGTTAAATGAATCTCTGATGCTGGTTTCTTTATTAATGCGTAAGTTCATGAATCTGAGAAAATTTTCAAGAGTGTGTTTCTCTTTTTAACTAATTCTTGTATGAGTTTATACAAAAAACTATAACTGGTGAGCCACGTATTAAAGAGTATTTTAAGAGAGTTGTTACTTTGCATGTCAGAACCATCATTTAGTAAATTGTTTCTCTTTTATTATTCTTTATTGTTTTTTATAAAACATTACTAACTCTCTTTGGGGTGTACTTTAGGGATCTGCCAAGAACCTACCACTCTCTAGCACATTCTTGAGCTTAGACCCAAGTTTGGTAAGAACAGTTTTATTTATTTATTGTGTTAATAAATTGACCAACATGATCTTTCTAACTAAAAAGTATACAATCCAATGATTTGGCAGTGCTTCTTCCCTCAGTATATGCAGCACCACATATTTGCACGCCACTTTTCATCATTAATTCGGCTTATGATTCTTGGCAGGTTTGAAAATCAATTTCTATATATGATAGTAACTAATACATTTCTGAATATATTTTATTTTCCTTCAAATTCTAAAGGGTTTGCCTATTGATTCTTGAAAAGTAGATAAACAACATTTTGGTTCCCGAATGTGTTGCTGACCCTGAACATGTTTGGGATACATGCAAGAAAGATATAAATAAATGCTCACCAAGTCAAATCCAATCTCTCCAAGATTTTAGGTCGACATTTTTAGAGGCATTGAACGATTTAGGACCAAGTATATCAAGAGGTTATTTCATTTCTTCTTGCCATTTCCACCATGGCATTGAAATACAAAGCTATTGGTCCAACAACAACTCTCCAACAATAGCAAACAAGGTCATATTTTCATTTCTTTTTTTCTTTATATTACTGTAATTTTTCAGCTTTCTTGTGTTGTTATTTGACGTTTGATACTAACTCATTATAACAGACAATTGTTGAAGCTGTTGGAGACTGGTCTTTTGGTAGAAGTGGATTCCAAGGGGTTTACTGCCCCTATCCTTGTGGCAAATATTGCCAGTAGAGGTTGCTCTTATTTTTTTTCGTAAACAAGTGGAGTAACTAGTGTAAAGCTACTCATGTATTATTGCAAAATTGTAATTTTTGTTTTTGTTTTCACCTCAACATGTTTTGATTGAGCAAATTATATTTTTTGTCTTCACACGTTTTGATCGAACAACTTTTTTCCCTTAAAAACAGATTTGCTAATTGGAAAGTTTATATCATTCCAAATAAAATTTCGTCATCTGTAATAATCAATTAGCAAAAAATTGCATGCGATGAATGTTTCCTCTCCTTTTCTGAAACTCCAAAAGGAGCAAATAAAGTCGGACCTTACGTTACAGTATTAAGGACCTATTTATGAGCCATTTCTTGTCTCACATAAAATTGATAAAGCATTACCAATTAGAACCATATTGTTTACCAGACACAACTTGACTAGTAAATTGCGTAAGCGAACATAATTTTTATTTATTTCTTGAAGTATATCTATACTATAATTTGTGGAAATATCTATTTAATGATTTTTTTTTTGTATTTCGTACCCCTAATGTATGTAATAAAAGGTCCATTTTGATAGATTTTTCCCTCCCTTTCTAACCTTTATTTTCTTCATTACTTACTTTCTCTGTTAATCCTCACAAAATGAATTATTTTATGATTTTGCAAATAAATAAATAGATTAAAAAGCAAAATCGTAAAAATCAAGTAAATGGAGTGTAAATGTAACTAAAGAAAACATTGGATAATTAGTGGTGAAAAGTAAAAAGAATATCTATCCATTAGTTGCTTTTTTCATTTCATCTACATGACTTTATATATTCTTATATTATTCAGTATTGTAGTATAAATCCAATTAAATGAAAAGCTTTTGTGGTATTTTATATGAGAATCAACTTATGTAACTAGGTAATATTTATGGATAATGTCTTTCATCCAAAATTATTGTTCTCAATAAGCTAGGTTTTTTTATATATACTTAATTAAAAAATCACATTTACATTTCATTTCATTCTAATTATGAATGCTTATTTGCATTTGAATGGAAGGATTTGGGCATGTGGAAGTGTAATTACTCGATATTTGCTGGATGCGCAAGAATAGGCCTCCCCTAAATTCCAGTAGATGTTTTTACCTTTTTATGTGAATTACACTTCAAAAATGATATCTTTCAATAAGCTACCAATTAGTTTATATTTCAGAAAAGATGGTTACCAGAATATTTATTGGTACTAACAAAAGTATTATTTTGCATGACATATATATTCCGAAGAAAATGTGTTATAAGCAAATCATGGCGGTGTTGGAAATTTGCATTTTTGTCTTAGTTATATTTCCTGAGACGTGGTAAACTGTAGAACTCCTGAAAAAACAGAGTTAATTTGCTATTTGGTATGCAGGGAAGACTGGATGATTTATGGATGGGACTATACGAAGAACCTTACTCAAGAACAAATTAATGAAAAATGCAGAAGGGGAGAAAGATTTATGCCATGTGAAATTGATGGAGAACTGATCTTGTAATTAATTATAAATATTATATTTTCTTATAGAAATTTGTTCACATATAATCGGTAAAAAAATAACACACAATATTTATAAATAAATTACGAGAGATCTTTAGAAGGTTATTTTCTTCCATTCAAGTTTTAAGCAGGCGTAGGAGATCATTTTCTTTGATATTATGGAAAATGGTCAAAATTGCCGTTAATAGTTGGGCATTTATTTGCCCCTGCCTTGACAAATAATGTATCATTTGTGTCCTTACTTTTAATTTCAGTCATGTGTCAATGTAATATAAAAACCTATTTTTAAATATTTTTTCTTATTTTCACTTTTGTTTATCACCTTTTTCCTTTTCTTTTACTTTTTCACTCCCCCCTTCCCCAACCATGTCTTCAAGATCAGACCCACCCCTCCTCACTTCCTTCTTCTTCCCCAATCACCAAGGTTTTCTAAGAGAGCGGGGCTTAGTCTTCTACTCCAGATTTTTCAGCCTCTTTCATCTTGAAGTAAATGATATTACCTTGAGAAAATCCCCCAAATGATCCCTATCGTTTGCTAAATGGTTTACATATACCCTCCATTTACCTTTCCGTCCAAAAAAGCACACGACGTTAATTATATTAACAAAATTGCCCCCGCATCTAACGACGAAATTTGGGGGCATTCAATTTAGTGATGTGGCAGATTCTCATGGGGCCAAGTAGCAATCTCGGGCTGATAGAAAAAAAATTGACCTTATTTTCGTCCCACTTAATCCGACCCAACGTTTTTTAACCGGGTCATAAAATAATACTTAACACATAATTTCACAAAGATAGGACCCAATAAGTGATCGAATTTGTTTTCGGATAGAGCGTCGCTTCTGCGGCCAAATATCAATTTTTTTGTCCGTGCAGTGCTATCAAACTGCATAAATAATGTATCTCATAGATATCTAAAAAATAAAATCTTCTAGAATCTATTTTAAGTCAGAAAAAAAAAATCTTTGCAAACTCACTGGTATTGTCACGACCCAAAATCCCACCACAGGTATCGTGATGGCACTTAGTCTCTAAGACTAAGTAAGGTGATTATAATACAATTCAAGCCAATTTTGTTTTTAAATAGATAATCGAAACCAACATCGGAAATAATTACAAACAACCTCCCAAGACTGGTAATACTGAGTCACGAACTCTAACTGAATACATGAAATAATCTCAAGGATCTAATACTCAATACTGTTTGATTAATAATTAACAGTACAATAACATGGAAAGACTCCAAGGGACTGCGGCGACCAAGCAGCTCTACCTTGAATCCTTGAGATCCCACTCTAACTTTGTCCGAGTCCGATATCTCCAATACCTGGCTCTGCAAAAAAATATGTAAAAGTGTAGTATGAGTAGACCACAATCAGTACACAGTAAGTATCAAGACTAACTTCACTGGAGTAGTAACGAGGTATAGTCAAGACACTCACTAGTCTAATAACCTGTGCAATATATTATAAAAAAATAATAGGAAACAAAATAGAAATATTGGCAACACTAATCAACTAGTGATATACATAGCAGTGCAACAAGAATATCATTAATATTGCTCAACAAATAATAAGTAAAAGTACACCCAATTAATCAGGTCCTTCAAATATAAATCTTTTGCCTATATGCTTCTCAAATAATAATCTTCAGGATATATAATACTTTCCAATAAATATATTTCAGATATACTCCTTTCAAATAAATATCTTTCAAATATAATTCCTTCAAATAAATATCTTACAAATATAATTCCTTCAAATAAATATCTTACAAATATAATTCCTTAAAATAAATATCTTTCAAATATAATTCTTTCAAATAAATCTCTTTCAAATATAATTTCTTCAAATAAATATCTTTTGAATAAAATTCTCCCCGTGATACTTCATTTCAAAATCATAAAATACAAGTCTCAGCCCACTTTCATATTTTCACGGCACCTCGTGCCAATTTCTCTATCACAACCGCACTGACAACTCATGTGTCAATATCATCATCATTTAACAACGGCACCTCGTGCCCACATTTCATATCACAACTGCACGGACAATTCACGTACCAATATTATTATTATTTACTCACGACACCTCGTGCCCACATTTTATTTCATAATTCGCCTGGCAATAGCCACATGCTCCCAATTTTAATATAGATCAGACTATTATCAAGTTTACCGAAACAACAAGACAAATTGCACAAGTTATAAAAATAAACATAAGGAAAATCACAACATCACATAAAAATTAACAACGCAATAACTCCACTTCATCACATATCATTCCTGACAATAGCCACCCTTATCTCTCATATAGCCGCCCTTATCACTCCTATAATAGCCTCCCCTATCTCTCCGCCCTGACAATATCAATAGCCACCCTTATCTCTCCTATAGACAACCTTATCACTCCGTATAATTGCCACCCTTATCACTCCGTTCAGACAATATCCCAACACACATAACCACAGTGAAATGCCACCCTTATACCCACATAATATCAACAGTGAAATGCCACTGAAATACCACCCTTATATCCTTAAAATAATAACTCAAATCACACAATAATTTAAACAGAATATTATCACGACAACACAACATAATTAATTCCTATCACAATTTGCCCAACAACCACAATCAATTTCAATGATATAGTAAAATCAATAAATTTCTCAAAAATAGCCCAAGGCTCCACACAATTTATATAAAACCTCAAAAATAATCAACAGAGAGAGAAAATACTCAGTATAGGGCAATACCTTCATTAATCCAAATTTTTGATAATTATATTAACTCCTCAGTTTAAGCTTATTTCATTAATTATTTACAGATGGAAAATTTATAATATAATTATTTTCAGGAAATATCAAATCAACAAACTCACAGAATTTACATAAATATTCAAGTAACAATCACATCAAATTGTCATATAAAAATAAATTCAACAAACAAGGACTTAGGCATGTCAAATAGATGATTTAATAAATGCCAACAATTATTCAATTTACTACACAATAATGCCTAAGACTTTAACCCAATAAACTTTGCACATATAAGTCCGAGTGCGTACTCGTCATCTCGCATACATGGATTTTCACATTTCACAAATGGCACATAAGACTCGATACCTAAGGGGTAATTTTCTCCACTCAAGGTTAGGCAAGTTACTTACTTTTTTTTTTGAAGTTAGGCCGATATTTTAAAATTTCTTTCTTGCTTGAATTGACCTCCGGACAGCTCAAATCTATCCAAATTAATTCAATTCATTCAATACTAAATATAGGAATTAATTCCATATGAAAATACTAATTTTCCAATAAAATTCGAAATTTAACTCAAAAATCGCATGTGGGGCCCACGTATCGGAATCCGATGAAACTTATAAAATCTGACAACCCATTCAATTATGAGTCCACCCGTAGCAATTTTATCAAATTTCGATAACAACTCGACCTCCAAATCTAAAATTTTCGTTCTTGAAATGTTTTGCAAAAAAATTAATTTCTTCCATTTAAATCCGAAATAAATGTTGAATATAACTATGGATTTATGAAATATAATCAGTTTTGGATATAGGACACTTACCCAAGTCGAAGTCGTGAAGAAATCCTCAAAATCACCCAAGAATCGTGCTCCAAAAATGCAAAACGAAATGAAGGAAATGACCATTTTTGGTCCTTAAGTTTCTGCTTATCCGTCACTAAAAGTCCATTTTACGTCACTAAAAGTCCACACCAGAACTTGCTTGCACCAACAATTATTTCTTTCACTAAAAAGGCTCTAACTCCATCATACGAACTCGGAATTCGACGATTCTTGTTCCTATGAGTCACATACAATAATACGAACCTTGCCGTTCAATTGAAACTCAATTCAGAGCTCATTTGCTCAATTCGATACCAATTTCGCTCGTTAAATAATTAACTCATATTTCGCGCTAAAAACCCAATCGCGACTTGATGAAATTAGACCAAACTTTTCAGATTACTCCTATAATTCATTATCAAAATCTCGGAAGTCTCAAAATCTAATTTCGATCTCTATAACT